CAATTCAAGTAGCCAGTTGTAAATTGCCTATACGTAGTGAGATTTTCAACTGTATGAATCTATAAACAAATAAAGTTTCCATTATTATTATTGTGTTCTGGTTCATTGATACTGACAAATTGTCTCTAAATAGCCGCTATTTGTGAATATTTAGTTTGATTTTCATGGTTTTCCTGTGTTTGCTCTAATAAAAAAATAACATTACAACAAGGTCAAAACAATTCTTTAGCTGCAGCACAAGCTACCATTTCATTTTTGTCCCCATTGGATCATAAGAGGAGCCATTCTTATTTTTAAAATAAATTCAGTTTCTTTTATGTACTTATCCAATTTGCTCTCAACTTTAAATAAAAAAAAATTTTCGAAAAAGAAAATAATATACTAGCTGATTTGATTTTCACATTTGTATTGATTCAGAAGTGGAAATACTAGTAGTGGAACTTAAAATGATCTGTACCATTTTTTCATGAAAAAAAAACAACTCCTGACAACATGTACCATGTGTTTGGTTATAGGTTGTCCATTGGGAATATGCAATCTTTCTGTAAAGTTCCACTCCCTAATAATATATGATTATTTTGAAATCATCTCAAATTTTCTAAATTACAAGTAAAATTAGTCGCTTTCTTCTGACGACCCATCCTGGGTATTTCTCCACTCTTCCAAGAACTCAGAAATCTGTTGCTTTTCAGCCATTGATATGCTAGGAAGAGTTAATGCAAACTCTAGCACAGCCAAGTGACAAAACTCATATTGATCAGGGGTTTGTATCATATGTGCCCTCTGTTTCCTGAGATACTTTACTGTATTTGATATCTCGCATTTTCCTCTGTCCTTCATTCGTTCAATATTGATATCCGTGGTGCAGAATGTTCCTGTGCGACCGATTCCTGCACTGCAGTGAACAACAACAGGTGGTCCAGCAGGATGTCCAGTCCATGTCGATCCTAAAGCCATCACAGCTGAYGACTGGGCTTGACGGACCAGACTCAAAATGTGTAGACATGACTCGGCAGAGGACGGAACCCCAAAATCTGGCCAAGATGTCATTTGAAAGTGCATGATTGTACGACTTACATTTGTCTGTGTAAAAAAAAACAACACCATCGGATCAAACAGGGATTCAAATTGCAGAATAACTGAAGCAATAGTTAATCTGTGCTATCTTCTGCAAACAACTCCTATCAATTATTGTTTTGGCCGGCTGATTGACTTAGATGGCAAAGTTTATTCTTTGACTTAGATTATAACATTTTCTTAGATGTAAAAGTGTGTACCTAACTGACTTACTAAGACGACTTTTCTGGCCAAATGATTGACTTCAACAAAAAATGTCTGGTTTATTGGTTGATTTAGACGGCAAAGTGCAGGGATGCCAATCCCTGAGCTTTTCAAATCTTGAGATACGAAAATGATAACGTCATACTGGAAATGACGTTTCATAACATTATCGATGACGTCATCGCATTTATCAAATTTTGTTATATCTAGTGATTTGACTGGATGTATCTTAACCAATCATATTATAGATTGTATTGTGCAATTGAAAATGGCCGCGGATGGCGTGCAGTGTTATTGTTATCAGAAGACTGGGATTTTTTTATTTTTTTCAGAACTAAAATGACAGATATGTAAGGTAATTTAAGTTCTAATAGATGAAATTAAAGAGATATTTCAAAATACTGATATATGAATCGTCATTATCCGGGAGATTTAGCGGTGAAATCTTGAGASCGGGAGAAACGGTCGAAAATCTTGAGACTCCCGGATTATCCGGGAGAGTTGGCATCCCTGAAAGTGTCTGGCTAACAGTTCAATTTAGATGCTTTTTTACATAGACGGAAAAGTGTTTGTTTGACTTATGTACTTAACAGAAAAGTGTTTGGCTAATTCTCACCTCAGTATTTGATATCTCAAAGATTCTCTCAATATGGTCTTCATATTCTTGTGTTTCAATGTGTTGAACTCGAAGATACATGTACGCATCAGAGTCATTGTTTTCTGGCCAGTATCGCTTACACTTGATGCGATTTCTCTCAAAGCATCTGAAAGTAAAGCAATGGTTGGTGAATTGCAGCAATGTTCAAGAGGGTACCAAAAAGTCCCTAACAATAACCTTCATTACAGAAATAAAATAATTAATATTATTAATAATTATCAATCAATTACTACCTAGTGATCATGACTATTACAAGAGCTTCTTGTTCCCATACCATCCGCCAGAAGTCGCCAGTTGTGTTTGGTAGTGGACCTGAGAGACAGAGCAGCTTACAGTATTAGGGAATAAAAAATACCTTCAGAATGAAGAGAAATGAGATGGAAAAATGTCAATAAGACAAGAAACAACATGAAGAAAGGTAAAATTACCTTGTGTAGCAATGAATGCTTTTTTCTGCTTGTAACCATCCACATAATTTGCATGAATATAATCAGAAAACTGAATCATGATATTAAAATGGTGTTAGTTCTGATGTAATTGCAAATAAGTTTTACTCTTATCATCACTTACATCATCCTCGTCGACAGGAGTCAATGGAACTCTTGTAGCTTCCAAACATAGTACATCAGTGTAGCGATTTTTCCTGATATTGACTCGGAGTCTAGTGCAAAAAATAGTTCAACCTAACTTTTTCACTAGTAAAATATCATAAATCACATAGTTACTGCTGTTAGATGATGAATTTGCAATATTTAAAAGTACTTTACCTAGTTTTGTCAAAAACTCCATCAACTGGTGTATTCTTGTGTTCCAAATACTGTGCTTTGATTCCTTTTTTCCCTAGTCCTTTCATATGCTGAATAAACTCACTAATACTCATAACTGGATCCCCAAAATCATAAAAATCCTCTGAATTACTCCCATCATCACAGCATGGTTGTCTTCCTTCATCATTTCTCTCTCCAACAGTTGAATTCCAACCATTTTGAACACGTGGAATACGTCGGGGAACTTCTGGCGGCACATCATTTACTCCAAGATTTGCAGCATATGAGGCAAGGCATTTATTTAACCATGCTAAGTGATCAACTGTCAGAATCCCTCCAAGACTTTTGGGGATGATTTCTATTGGAAGTTTTTCTTTAAGCTGTTCAGATGACACTATTTCGATTCTTTCACGTATTTTTTCACGCAATATGCTCGATAGTATGATGAGAATTGCTTTGAACCATAAAGGTGGAGATATGATGTAAACTCGTTTTAGTCGTGCTGGGTAACAGCCCTGCATTAAAACAAAAGTGACTCTGAATTTGAACTCTTGTGAATTATTAAATGACATATAACACTTAAGGATGTTTCATGCAGAAGAAAGAGAACAATAAAGGAGAAATATTCCAACTCACTTTGAGTAGTTCAAGCACCTTCTGGCTAAGTTCATAATCAAAGTTTCTATATGAAGAGTTACTCATGTCATAGAGGAGAATAAGACCACTTTTCTGTGTTGTAAGACTAAAAATATGGAAAAATTCTTAATTTTCAATCATAATATGTCACTTGATTTACTTCACTTCTAACTGCTTTCCATAGAGTCATACTGATGCTACCTCTACATTGAATTCAGTACCTTTTAGTTGCTTCATCAAGTTGAAAAACCATGCATTTGATTACAGTTTCATGGCTTGTCAATTCAGGAAAATGAAGCTTTGCCTCTATTACTGCTATGGCCGCTCCTTCAGGATCAGGCTTTTCCTGCAGCAGAAATATGTGTATATTATTACATTAATTATTATACTTTTTGAACATCAATACTGCTCCTCTACAATATGGTAGAGATCGTGCTACTCATATTGTACAGGCTTGGAAACTACTGACAGGGTGTTTACTGGAATTCAGTGATGTCACTCACCAATATTGTGAATTTTCCTGAAAGTAGTTCCTGTTTCATTGGGTCATCATATGGAAACATTTCATGTAAGCCATAAAAACTGCATTTTTCCTGAAAATAAAATAAAATTCATTTGGTGCATTAACTACATTTTAGTAGCTTGTGGTACCATTATTTAATTGTTGCATTTTTTATTCCCCACCTGAAAGTATGGAAAAACATTACTGATGGATGATTGAATAGACAGGGAGGATGRTGGATTGGTAAATGGAACAGGAACAATGAATAAATGGTATATGAATGAACAAAGTTTAATATAAGGCCATATAAGTAGATAAATGGATATTTGAATGGAAGAGATAATTGGATAAATCCCAATGCGAGGAATTATGAAATAAAAAGAAAGTTATTATTACTGATAATTATTATAACTGCTTGTGCCTATGTGCTATTGAAGATACTTGTATCCTTAAAGCACTCAATGTTCAGTTCTTATATCCATGCTAYAAAACATTGTGGTCAATTTATGTTTCATCTATCATGTTCCAACTTCAATAATTGGGTGTTGGGTGGATGCTAACAAATCTCATAAGGAATTCCAAAAATAATTCACAATTAAAGATCAAATGATGCTTCAAAACACAAAGCTATTGACATAGTTTATGCTAATTGCTTGAGCTTAGCGAAAGGGATGCCTTTGCTACAGAAGCTTGAAGCTGACTTAAACATAACCTTTGCTCAAACGGTTGGCTGATTCAAAAAATTATTTGAATTTACATTCTTAGAAGATACTAGACAACAATAATGGAATTAGTATAACTGTAGACATATTATGCATTGCAAACAAAAAGTAAATAGATAAATGTTCAATGTCATTTTTAATGCAATAACTTGTGGCCTTCTTCACTCACTGTATTTTTTGTCATTTGTGAGTYAAAAATTACATCTTCTTAAAATATGCTAAATCTCAAAAGCAAATTTCTGTCAATCCTTTAATGTTCATATGCTTAGTCTTGTAAAGAGGTGTAGATGATAGATTTTTAAGTAGCAATTAACTTATAGATTTATAGGGATGATACTTATGAATGACTTTGTGAGATAATGTCTATATTTAAGCTTAAATGTATAAAATGTACACGTTGACAACGCCACAAAATTTGCATACTGCCTTAGGTCACTCACTATACACCCAAACCAAATAACCCTCCCAAAATCATACTAGCAAGAATAAGACGGCGCCTAATTTACTACTGACATTTACAATGAAACGGAAGCATTTGCGCCGTCTAAAAATTCTAAAAATGTCGCGCCTTGCAAGACATTTGAAAATTGTCTAACAAAACGCAAAGCTCATCTWAAGTATTGACTCTTTTTTAAATGAAAGGACGTGATAGTTAAGAGACAATGAAACAAATTGATGAATACGCAAAAGCTTTTTTACAAAAATGCCTTTTCGCATATTTTGTCACGCAACTGCAAGAGATTTTGATTCAAAGCTYGGTTTTCCACGCACGAATATTATTGAATTTGTTGAAAATCTTCTGCGGCAAACAGTCTTCTATGAAGCTCACATAAGTTTTCGATGTTTAAACGGGTAGTTGACTATTCATCTTGAACGGAAACGAAAGAAACCTTGAAAAAGAAAGCCAATCCCATTTTCATGATCATCAAAACAAAAGCAAATTTTATCACTTGCGTTGTTGTTTTTAATACAAATTATCACAGATAACATAAGAATTTGTATATCCGATCTTTTGACCACAAACACAAGTGCCTACCTGGTGGTTTTTGTATAAAGATATTGCTCTTTCGACGTCAAATTTACGAGCGATCAAAAATTTGGTGGCAGTCGAAGTCCCGACGGGGCTGAGGCCAAATTGAGCGCGATCACTGTTCACTTGGGTCAAAAAACTCTTGATAGCCTGAAGATAAAATTAAAAGATTAGTTCCCGCCATTGATGGTATAATTGGGTAATGTTTTGCACCTCCAGCTCKGTGTCTGTACAGAACGGCTGATCATCCGCCATTTTGTTAATCGACGTCTTGTAGTCTAATGGGGATAGCTGCTGCCTTGGTTATCTTGTGGGCGCAATACACAAGAACTGAATTTGTTTTTTAAACTTTTTTTAGACTAAAAAGCTAGACTACATAAATCAGGAAATGCTTATTTTGAAAATAATGCGAAAAATAAATAAGCTAAAATTGATCACAACTCCAATATTTCTGTAAGAATTTATCGTTCAAAGTCGGAGTATCGTCGGTAAAGCTCGTAATAAAGTCGGAAGTCCACGCGGTTTGTTCGATTCAAGAAAGTGCGAAATTCAAACTTTCGTAGATCACTTTTCCACTGTTTGTTTGTCAAAGTTTTTCCCTAGATTTCTCCGTAAAAATGCCTTTCTTTTTGCTCCTTTCTTGAAGTAAATCATGGCAACATCTTGTGCATGTTATAATCACGACGACCGTCGAGCAGTTTGGAGTTGTTTTGACTGCAAACCAGGTAAAGTTGAGGACGCATTTGACAACCATGATGCGCGTGCTAGTAGCTGCGAGCAAATCTTCCATGCAATGGCAATCGCAGAATTTTGTATTTAAACTCATTTGCAATTGAAAAATATAGTTTTACCAACGCCTTATTTATTAGTTTAAACTTGTAGAAGTTCTTTATGCTGGACTGCTTCGGTTTTCATTGATCGAAATAGACAAATAACTTAAGCCTAACTTAAGCTTACAAATTTCATAGCAATAAGCTTATCTCGGTATCCCCCTGGGGATCTTTCGCAAATATATTGTAAATGATTTTTGCCAAGACAGCAAGAGAGTGCCTGTCACCCCAAAGCTGTTTCAGTAGCCTAGCTACAATCAGCTGTTGTTACAAATGCCTGGAAGGCTATTGTAAGATTGTTGGATCAAATGGAAGTCTGGTTGATTTACCATCTTGTTGGCTAGTTTAAAAATTAAAAGCAAGCTTATTGATTGGGTAGTTTGTCACTTGGACAACTGATTGCTTGATTCACAAGCTGTTTGTTGGTTTCTTGGCTTTCTGATCATTTACTGTAGTTTTGTTAGATAAATGGTTAGCCACCAAGATTGTTTACTGCCTGGGTGGTTGCTTGGCTGGTTGGTTAGTAGTTGTTATCCAGGTGTTGTTTCTAGTGTATGGTTGTAAGTTTTACTTGGATGATTGATTGGTTGGTTATTTGGATGGTTAGTTATTTATCAAGCTTGCTGGTTGGTAGGTTGGTGACTTCAATGATGAATTGGCTCATTCCTTGGCTGGTTACTTATCAACTTCATGTTTTGTTGATGACTTGGATAATTTGTTGATTTTGCAAGATAGTAGTATGATTTATGCATTGATCTGCAGATGGAATTTACTATAATTTTACAGGGTAAATTGATTATTAACTATTGTCATTTTGATTCATTTACCAGATTGTATTATAAAGTTTTGCAAGGAATGCCATGAACATGTCCACTCATTRCCAGTCTTCAGGTTTCACAAAACAGAGTCAATAGTATTAACACAGGTACAAGTAAACCCTTTTAACGATCTGTGTTAGCCTCAAAACCATGTAATAAATTCTTTTATTCATAATAGCCTGTGAGTACAGAAGGCAGTGGAAATAGTTTGAAATCTCAAGAGTTTTATTTAAATTTACTGAATATTTTGCACACAAATGAGGCTAACACAGCGCAAAAGAGATCGCAATACTCAACTATTCTGAGATAATCTCTTTACCATCTATGCATATGTCATTCTATTCACTACAAAGTAAGGCCTCCTTTTACAACTGGCCCTCTTTTGTCACATAGTGCTACCATGTGATACAGGTGGTCTTGATGCAAAAAGAGATTAATTTAAAGTTATACCCAAGAATTCAAACCTATCAGTGCTTTTAATAGTTAACCTACTATCTAGTAAATACAATTTCATTGCATYATAAGTTATCATTTTTCAAAGGGCGAGAAGAGAAGACTGTCTCAGGATGTTTCTGATCTTGAAAAGTATGTACCATAAGTCTCTTTGATATCTATTAGATTTAGATTAATAAAWATTGACCAATGTCATGATATATTTTAGGTTGGTTGTCGTAGAAAGAGAAATCTTGAATGGAGTTCTTACAAAACTTCAATATGTTGACCAGCAAGAGCGTGTAAGATAAACTGAATTCCACCTTTTCAATTTCAGAATGCATCTCTTCTTTTGTATAATGATATTTTTAATGATTTTTTAAATCAATTTGTTGGTTATTCGTTTGCAAAGTATTATTTTATGGCACAACATGATAAGTTATTGAATATAGATATAAATGTTATCTTATCATCACCAGGAAATGCTACATGACATGGTGAAGAAGTCTGAGAAGCGTTTACAYGAAATTCAACAATGTCATGAAAAGGTTGACAAAGCTTTACGATATCTTGCAAAGGTAAAATTATACTATTACATCTACACTAAACCCTCTCGCACACCATTATATTTTTAGCAACCTTTTTCAAACTATATTATTTTTGCCTTTAGGTGTCTACATTTATTACTTCATGTAGCAGTAGTGGTCCTGATGCCTTTCCCTCACAGTTCATATACAAAGAACCGGTCAGGAACTTCAATGATATTGCTCAAGAGCTTTCAGATAGGGCAGAATTAGGTACATTGTATGATATAGGTGGAAATTTTATGGAAATGCAGCTTAATTTGGGGTACARAACAATGGATYATAGGTCCCTAAAGAGAGCCAAGTTTGGTTTTGTTTTTCTCACAGAAAAACCTGCTTTGATTTCACATTCAAGTGGTTTATTGTTGTGCAATTGATTCCAGGGCAGTCATGTTTGTGGTATTTCAAACAAAGATACATGTCATTTCTCATTTGTGTCTGTTATTGCTACCATCAACATAGCTGACTAAGTTTTTTTGAATCACAAGTGAATGATAGTAATTCACTACATTTATTACCAGGTTCCTTGGCTAATTCTTTTATGTTTTTGTTTGACCGTTTTTCTGTACAGGAAGTATTTCAAATTTCCCAGTAGAGATAGTTGGCTCCTTGAACAAATCTGGTTGCTTTTGGATGGTGAAGAAGACTGTTTCTGATAAACAAAAGCTTATACAAATTGAGCATGATCTCAAGTATGTGTTTGCTGGATACCATATACATGTATTCCTTAAACTTGCAATATGACRGTTATACTCTTATACTTCACAAACTAAACCAAGTAAAAAGAAGCAGAATTAATCTTAAACCTTGTTTTTCCAGAGATTATTTCAAGCATAACCCAGTTAGCAATACTCAATTACCAGCATTAAAGGAAGGAGCTGTCTGTGCAGCAAAGAACAATGCAAATACTGAGTTCTGGAGAGTAAGAGTTGATAAACTTTGCACAAATGAAATGGTAAGAAAGCAGATTACTCTACTCATAAAGGAAACAATTCTTACATTCTTGCTTAGCTTTGTTAATGTGGTGGCTTCATTTTAGGTCAAGTTACGATATCTTGATTTTGGGATGCAAGAGGAACTACCATTCAGCTGTATTGTAGATCTACCACCATCGCTTAGGATAGCACCATATCTGGTATGAATAATGTCATTTCCAGTTTATCCCTGAACAACAATTGAAAGACCTTTTTTTCCTGGAGGATTTGGTTATAGACATGGTACCATGTTATCTAATAGTCTTGAATGTAATCTTGAAAGGAAATCATTCCTTTAGATTAAAGTACATGTACAAAGACCAGAGGCCACTGCAGTGATAGAGACCTTCTATCATGTGTACGGTCAAGGGTATCTATCATAGCAAGCTTATTGGTTGTCKTACTTYCATGCAATTGAAGGGTTTCCTTTCAATATASTGCTGGTAATCATGAAGGAGACTTATTTATTTTGTACAATTTATGGCTTTTTCCACCCTTTTTTTCATTTGCAGGCCATGGAATGCTGTTTGTTTCCACTAACCAGTCAAATTGCTCTTCCATACGAGGTATAGCACATTATCAATAATTAAAAGCATTCTTTTCTTCCTAGCTTTTATCAAACACACTTAAATATTCATCTGGTTACATCATTTTTTTCCTAACTGCTATTCAATTAGGCAAAGTGGTGTTTTAAAGACCTTACTCATGGGAAAGAGTTGACGGCAAGTGTTCAATCACAGGTAACCATAATAGATATCATTGCATTGCAACTTGCTCGTAGAGAATATTTGGTGATTTCTTCTACAAAACTGTTTTTAGTCAGAATTTGAGAATACACTGCCCTTCATCTTCAGTATTATAGCACTGAAACTGCTATCTACTTTTTCARTGATGTCATAGCAGAAGGAATAACTAGCATAACCCCTTCTCTATTAATTATAATATATGGAAAGATCAGTGACTTCAATGATAAATTATTGTGCCATCAAAAATAATTTTTAAGCTCATTGATTGTTGTACAATTATAGAATAACAGTTGACTATTATAATTATGTTGTTCCTTTGAAGATGATCTATCCACAAGGACATAGCATGTATCACATCCAGCTGACTGCAGTTGGTCCACCTACAGTCAACATAAACCAGAAGGTTGCTGACATGCGTAAGTATCAACTGAAAGAGAACAGCGTGATAAGGATGAAAAACTAATGATATTGAAACTCAAATCCATTAAAATTCTTGGAGAAATTGCCATACAAATATGTTCAGAGATAAATGGGGCAAASTGRTCAWRCRCRAATCACTTTACAAAGCACTCTTGTCATCCCACATTGAATACGCATAAAGTAAAATAGAAGCGCTCTTGGCTGTTCACTGAAATCGGTTGACATCCTGCATTGGTCAATGATCAGGTTTCAAACCTGAGACCTTTGCTAGGGTCATGGACCTTTATATCTGATAAAGGTCACCCTTATTAGTATTCTTTATATAAAGAATACTAATAAGGAGTGTTTATCAGATATAAAGGTCCATGCATGTGACCAAATAGGCTCATTCTATTGGCCTAGTAGCTCATTAATTATGTATGAGTTTTTTAAAGCTTATTAATTATCACTGATAAAGTGCTGATGCTTTTTGCTTTACACTATTTATTGATAATGATTATTTGTTTTATTTGCAGTTGCTCAGAAACAGCTTGATGCTGAGGTAAAGATACTTTGTTACCAAAAAAAACTTCAAAATACTCGAATTTCAACAATTATTAGTAATGCATAAACATTTTGATATTAATCACAGCAATCCATTAACCAAATCATCATTAGACATACTGTAGATTGTCACATTTTAAGCTTTGAAATCACAATACTCCAGTACTCCAATTGCGAGTTCTGGTTTGCTCTGTGTTGGCCTCAAAACCAAGTAACATATTCTTTTGTTTTATTGATAGCTGAAAAAAACGCATGGAATTTGTGAAGAAAAAACAATAAAATTAATTTGAAATCTCACACTTTTAATCTCACAATTAGGAATATTTTGCACACAAATGAGGCTAACACAGAGCATTGGAGAATTCATAAATGGATCTTATTTTCTCATTCAGTAACAMATGCAGATACCATCATTGTAACACCCTACGTCCCTCTCTTTGTATTTTTAGTGTGAATTTTACAGTTTTGTACCATAAATATCCTGACACAGYTGATGACTTTTAAGTCTGTGGTTTATATTTCAGGATATCCCTATTCTGCCAAAAGATGAACAAAAACCCAAATCTGAAGTTTCCCAAAATGTCCAAGAGCCAGAACATCCTAAAGTACAGCAATTACCCAGTAAAGTGCAACCTGTGCAAGAAAACATCATAAAAGAGAGCATCGTGGATGAAAATGCTGATACCAAGAAAAGTCCAGGTTAGTTGTGTCGTTTTAGGAATGATTTATTAATTTCTATTCTTCGTTTTCACTATATGTCACAGAGGCCATCTTGGATGAACTTCAACAAAGGATTTCTCATTAGTATCTATTGTTCATTCCTCCAACATGGCCGCCGGTCTTTTATCTTTTGAATCTCCTGGAAATGGTTGAAAACGAGGAATCTATCTATTTTTTTTTGTGCTCAATGCATGTAGAAAATAACCAAGGTTGGTGTTATTACTTTTGTTATATATAATGGCCTACTTATCCTTGCTCTATTTTTTGTTAATGTAGAGCCAGAAAAGGTTGTGAATATRCAAGACCCAGCCATATTAATGCATGGAGAACCAGTGAAAAAGTACACAATTTTGAGAAGAAACAGCGAAGATAAAAATAAGAAAGAACTCTTGACTAGTTTACCTGAATTATCGATAAAACCACCAACCACAACTGSCAATGATACRCCACCCGAWCCTGGACACYCAACAGAAGGCACCAAAAATGATGATCAAGTCGTARATGAACAGACATCTAAGAAACTCACAGATTCTGTTAYAAATAAGTCGCATGATRCAACTAAAGAGATTTCTAACAAGACTCCAGATGCTTTGGCAAATTCMTTGCAAGRTGCCACTGAGAAAAGCGTTAAAAAGCTACCAAGCTCTGTGCCAGAGTATATCCCTGTAGGGTTCCTWAACGATCAAATGTACCAATCTCTTTTAGACGAATTCTCAACGGCAAGCGAAGACTGGTATGGAGTCAGGTCCAAACTACGTGGAGCAAGATTTTTTGCAGTCAGAGGAAACCCSCGCCAAATAATAGAAGCAATAAAGACGAAAGTGTGGTGTGTTCTCGATGAAAGGTTTGCACTTCTCATGAACCAAGTGTACAGAGAGCAAACTGCAAAGCAAGCAACCATGTATTTTATATTTGTTCAAAGACCTTTTGTAGTTGGTTTCATGCAGGTTGTGTCAGAAAGAAAACCACACCCTTGCTCTGTTTTGACGCCAGGGGTATTATGGGGACAGCAGTGCCGTGGAGAGTTYAAGATCAAAGTTATCTCCATCAATAAGTACAGGCTCCACATTCTTCGTAATGAAAAYGCAGAAGTCTTATGGAGATTCTTCAGTGGTTTTCCTATAGTTCAAGAACTGAATTTTGATGTTGCAGAAGAGATAATATATCGCTATGAGAATCTAAAACGTCAATTCACAATTCTTGAGTGGGGCTTGAAAAACTACCAACAGCAGAATGCACCATTGAAGGAAMTGACCAATAGYCAAGAAAATTTGTCTTTGCACTTCAACGAAAGTAGCCTACCAAAGGACGCACCCAAGGAAACAAGAACCAAGAACTTAACTGAAGATGAAGACCAATCTAATGAAGACTGGGAGCCMGATGTAAGTAACTCCATTTACAGAAGTATTATTTAAGAAATGAAAAACAAACTCTTGAGTTAAATACCCTGATCRTGTGGGATGACAAGAGAAACGTTGAAAACCACGGTGCAAAGTATATTATTTTGTAAATTGATCTACTAAATTGTTCTCTTCAGCTTCAAGCACAGCCAGCTAAAGTTGCTGAGATTTACTCTAACATCTCTAGCCCTCCTGCTAGYACTAGCAGCCGTGTTGGAGAAGAAGCAGTAGAAGATACTGAAGCTGTTCCTGAGGAAGCCAATGTGTGCCCTAGGGAAACTGTCAAGCCTTTRGARGAGGATGAAGTTTTCGAAGTTGAACCAGTYAAGCTTGAAGAGGCTTTGGAAGAGAAAGCAAAACTTGATGATGAAGTTGAACAGGAGGAATTTGTCTCTCCAGACAATCTCGTTGATAATACGAAAGCAAGTAGGGATGATAACCAGTCTGATGTGAATGATTCTAGTTTAGTTATCGAAGCGAAAGAACAAAAGCAGCCTGAACCAAATGAAGAGTTTGAAAACCAAAAACAAGAGMCATTGCCAATTAATGAAGAAATGGRTCCTTCTTCTCTTRACGAAGAGAATACTCCACAAGCTACAGTCACTCAACCTTTTTCATCAAAAGATGATCTTTTGCCATCGTACATGCCATATGGACAAGCAGTGCCTGGAAATGGTGATACCACCATGAAAGACCAAGACAATATTACAAATGAACATCCAGATATGAAGGAACACTTTTATGTTATAAGTCCACCCCAGACCCCTAAGACTGATGTCCCTAACGAAAAAGTGCAAGACGTTGATAAAGTCGAGATCTCAAAGGAAGAGCGCGAAGAGCTTTCTCAAGAACAACGGGTTTCGAGTGAAACGAAGGGAAATGAACGTGTATCGAGTACATCAGTGAGTAGCTTGACAAATGAGGTTTCTTCAAGYGATGCAAGTCGAGATTCTCCAGACTTTTTTCAAGTCGCTGAGTGTTCTCAAGTCGATGCTGATCTGTATGATGAMGARTCCTTTTTACCAGTAGAAAAAGGTACATTTATRACTTGTTTTTTAAAGATATGTTTTCAGCTCACATCCAAATCTTTTTTCTCTCCCAGGAGGACGATATAAAGTTTTTGCTTATAAGGAACCTGATGAAAATGGATCATTCTGGGTAAGACTGGTGCGAAATGACCAAGAAGAAGAAATATTCAAGAAGTTTCAAAGAACCATAAAGTAAGGCCACTTAACTTTTGTTAAGTCTTTGTAACTACTATCCACAAGCTTTCAATCCTTCATTATTATATGAGTTGAAATATCGGACATTTCAAAGTTTTTGACTATAGGTTATTTTGGGAGCATTTGAAAACTGAAAATATATATTGGAAATTATACCATTTTTTAAAAGTCCGTACTCGTTCATTTACAAAGTTTGAGTGAAATTCAGCATTTCTCGATAAGGTTTTTTTTCTATCCAAAGAAAGATGTTATTCAGTCACAACTAACAGTTCACTCTCTTCGAAAGATGTTATGTTAAACGTAAGAAAATTGCTTGTTTTTTTTTTTCTTCAGTAAAATAGGAAGAACAGGAGCGCCACTTGCGGCTGTCCACCTGTACAAGAATTGTATCTTTATCAATAACAAGGGATATTCTGTTAGAGGTCTCATCACGAAAATCTATGGTGATGGAGAGGTTAGAGTGGCATACATACATTTGTACAGTATTATAGTCCACCAAACAATCACAAATCCAAAATTCTGATTGGCTATTGCACTATTATCTATTGCCAATAGAGTCATTCTCATCCGTCTGCGAAATAAGAATTGTACTATTAAATACTATTACCCCCTATTAGCTCCCAATAGTTAAACTTATGACATGCGACAAACTAATAAGGCCACGGTTTTGATTTTGCCTTTTGGTAGCCTACTACACCCTAATAGTTACTATTAAACACTGACTAGTAGTAACACTGTAGTAATTGTTTCACAGACGGATGAAAATGACTCTAGACCATAGTTAAGAAATACAGAACAATTAAGAAGTTCAGAAAGTTTTGTCGTTGTCAAACCAATAGTCTTGGGGCTTCAGTCGAGTCCTTGGTACATGTATATTGCCTTTAATAGGGAGGGTGAATATATCAATACGGCGCTCTCACTGGAAAAATTCCGCGCTTTAAAGGTTGTAAATTTAATGTAAATGATTTCCATTAAATTTAAAGAATTTTGGACACTTACATCATATTTACATCAAATTTACAACCTTTTAAAGCGCGCGATTTTTTCCATTGTCTCCAGCTATTAAAAATTCTTCTAAGTTCATATCCAGCAGATAAAATCCAAAGAAAATCTATGGATTGGACAACTTCAGTCGTTCGGTGAATAAAAGAAACAGGAATGGATAGATAAATGATGGTACATTTTTTTAAGGTTGACGTACGTTTGATTGACGATGGAAAGACAACTATTGCAACTGTTAGTGATCTAAGAGAGCTTGATTACCAATATGTAACTTGTATGCCACCTCAGGTAATATTTTATCTTTGTATTTTTAATCAAACAGCATCAGTTTTTTTTTGCTTGTGATCCAATTCTTTTTGTAGAAGAATTGATCCCGGATCTCAAATTTTCTTTGCGAATTTGATCACTTGAGGATTCCATACAACCTCTCCTTTTTCCATTATCCATAGCTGCTTCCCTCGCTAATGCCATAGGTTTTCCATCCCTTTTCGGACTTCCTTTGGGCCCTTCGTCTTTCAGGATTCCTGAACTATCATTCTATCGCTAGTTCTGGAATCGACTCTTGAAGGACGATGGACAAAAGGAAGGCCGAAAGCATCTCTCAATAGTAATTTGAATTCGTTGCAGGCATTTGAATGCAGGCTTCGTGACAAAAAGTCKCTTAAGGTAATTGATCGTTTAGAGTCATAATATTTATTAATTTGCGAAAAATCATAATGAAAAGAATGGCGTGGACAACGAAAAAGCGCTAAAGCGTCTKTCAAGTACACSTGCTTGTAATATGTCATGGAAGAGGCCTGGAGATGGGACGGCAAAAATAGAAAATAACCATTTTTCYAATTATAATTCTGTTATTATTCATGATAGGACAAATTTAAGAAAGCGAAGAAAAACATCAGGAGTTACGACATTGAAATTGAAGTGGTAAGTTGAATGGCGTTTTTTATGTGTGTATTCAGTTTTATTGAGACGCTGAGATCCCGCTTCTTTAGTTTTTGATCAATTTTTAGTTCCTAGTGGTTTCCACAGGGAGCCCATTTTGTGTAAAAGAATTAGGGAAGAGAGGAGACTGGAAGAGGGAAAAAATAAAACTTTGCTTCATTACTAGTCCTGCTCTCTCTATAATTTTACACAGGCATCCCATCCGAGAGGATTGAAACGAGAGACAACCGTAGGAACTGCTCATATATTTATCTCTTTTCCATTCCATTCTACTGATTCATTGATTATTTTACAGACGGGTTTTAATGGAGAAGTCGTGGAAGTTGACGTTATTACTTTAAAACTCTGCGAGCGCCCTTCAAGACACTACAAACCCCCTCCAAGTCGATGATACACAGGCATCCCAAGTACTGTTGTACACTCCACAGGTAGCCCAAAACAACTATTTAAAGACACCAATGCAGGTACTCCAACTGTCAACTTATCATGTCGCTGGGTGATTGATAACCACTAACCAGATACAGAAAGTTATTCCGTTAAGATACTTTATGTTTAAAATTATACGTTCGCGTTCCAATCTTGTTGATTGAAAAGCAAGGTATTCCTTGCGATGTCTTGGTCTACCCAGAATTCTTTGCTTTAGAAGGAAGCGCGCAATGCATTCATGGGAAACCAAACTGAAAATTTCGCAGTGATTGGTAAAGATTGAGCGAATAAGGCGAGTCAGATAATGAACCCTTTTTCGTTTGCTTTTGGGAAGAGTTGAGTCTCGAAAATAAAGTTTTGAAGATTGATATAAATCAAATGTGATTTCTAAATATAAGCTTTCAAAATATAGTTGACTTAATCAACCATAGCTTGCTTTAGGAGACAATGAATTTTTAGAGCAAAAGAGGCAGAGAAGTTCGTGATCTGCGAAGAGTTATAAAAACCATAATAGGAACACTTATTCTTGAGAATTTTCTCTTGAGGAAAATTTACTCCCTTCACACAATGAGAAGCGTCGTGAATAAGTGCATGTCATTATTGAGTGATTATATGCGGCTGTGAGCAAATGCACGCGAATATGGAAAGCTTTTATTTCATTTCTTCAGTTTCCTCTAATCACCAAAAACGATGCGAGTTGTAGTGATACTGATGAATAGAAAATTGTAAGCTTTAATTGTCATTTACTGGTAATGCGTGCGAGTGACGTTTTTAGCAGGTTCCATATGGTTAAAAAAACTTAATGACTTGTCATTCTCTGTATCGAATGAGTTATTGCACGAAAATTATACTGGTCTGAAAGAATGATGCCTTCAAACTACGATAACTCGTTCTCTTTTAAGTTCTTCGTACTAGTTATTGCTAAATCATGAGTGAGTTGTGAAGAGATTGCGCTGCCTAAGGATTCCATTTCTTGCGTTCCGTGACTTTTAATAGTTTATTTTTGAATTCATTAAAAATTTAGGAATACTTTTTAGGAGCAAAAAGCCTGCTTATGATATTACAGTTGATGTTCACTATAAAAATCATATATATTCAGCATAAATAATATATAGTTCATTGATTTGAAGAGATATCCTGTACGACTAACACAATGTTTTGACTAAAGTGATATTCCATCGTCTGTAATGAGAAAAAGACTACGTATTTTGCACTGTTGCGATAAAGAACAAAAGAAAACACAGCCTTAAGTCTGCTGTAAATATTGTATTATCTTTATTTTTATTTCGCAGGCGATGGAAAATCACTTTAGCGACTTTCATAACACATTATGTTTGCCACTTTTATCATTATTTATCTGAACATTGGTGGTTTCACGTCAAAAATAACCGAAATATAAGGTGTCTGTTTGGTGTAAGTGATCACTTACAAATTCGAGTTTTGTTTTAATACATTTTCATATATTCCGCCATTTCATAATATTAACACGTTACTGTTTGATATTCCTGTTAAAWTTTGTATATTTGAATGTTGTAAAAATGATTTTAGCTCGGACGTTGCTAGTTGATTTAGTGTATATGCGAATAAACTATATTTATTTATTCAAT